TCACAGTTGGCCGATTAAGTCATTTCTTAGAATTTGGACTTCTCAGGGGCAGAGGTTTTCTTCTTTTATATTAGATGTACTCTGTTCCCCACACTGTTCAGTTACATAATAAGATAAACACATGCACAAAGTCATGCTTTTTTAGTATAAAACACAAAATGTTCTTAACTTTTGAAGTTATATTTATTTATGTTATTATTACTTTTGGACTTAACCTTTCTGGAAGTACTTTTCAGGTAGAATAAATATGCAACTGGATCTTATGTTTTTGTTGTTCACTATAGATCTGTTATGGCTGCCATCATGAACTCTTTGCTAGTTTGTGTATAATCTACCACCCTACCTAAAATGTGAGATATCAAATAACTGTGTATTGTGCAGTCAGGTTTTCAGGTTTTTCTAGCCTTGCGGCCAGGCCTGAAATCTTGGCCTGTCCCTTCTTTGGCTCATTTTGCTTGCAGTGTTTTCTCTGTCTTCAGACAGCTCCTGATTAGATGACCTTCTGTCAACCATTCCCTACACACTTTCCCTGACCTGGGCACCACAGGGCTGGCTGCCCTCCAGAAACTCATCATGAAGGCAGCTGTCCTCTCAGAGAAAGATGAGTTTGGTTCATCTGTAAATATTGACAATGAGTTGGACTCAGTGTCACAGGAGACCAAAACCTCAGTCACATTTAAACTGTGACATGATGGCATACTGAAAAATATTTAGTTTATCAGTCACTAATGTGTCCCTAGAAGAATAGAGACATGGGAAATGAAAAAAAAAAATTTAGAAGCCCTGTTCCATTGTCTTCTATGTAAAACAAGTATTAACATTAAAGTTCCAAGCATGTTGCCTGTGATATCAAAGTAGGCGTTTAATAAATGGTAGCTCCCTCCAAACTCTATTAAGTATTTACAATGTGCAACGCTGGATGGATCACTAGAGTAATAAACAGTGTCAGAATAAGAACAGGTGGATTCACAGGCTGCTTTATCTTTCACAGGGGGAATTTTGGTGAATTCTAACATGAAATATAAGTTAGCATGAAAAACATGCCACATTAAAACCTAATGGAAATGAGAGTCTAGAGAAAAGACAAAATACTTTTACTGGGAGGACAAGAGAATGCTTGACAGAAAAAGTGGCAATTGAAGTGAAATATAAAGATTTTTTTCATTTTCTTGCATACTAGAGTATGTGATTTGTCCTTCCTCAGGGTATTCTAAGTGATGAAAAATAAAGTGAGCAGAAAAAGTTAGCATAGGATATATTTGAGGAATTGCTAATAGTGAAAGTTGACTAGAGCTAAGCCCACATTAAAGGAAGGTAAAAAGTAATTTGGAAGACCATAAGGCATACATAAGGCCATACCTCGGCAGCTTTAGATCTCAACATCACTTAGAAATTTAGAAGACAGGCAAGGAAAATTCCTTTTATGAGTCAGGAATCTTTGACTCCTAACTCCCTGACCAGAGTTGTTGGTTTACACAGGCTTTAAAGATTTACTATCCTGGGTCATTTGCCACTTACCAGCCTCCTGACATTGGGAAAGTTATTTGCTCTTCCTGGCCTCAATTTTCCCATTTGTAAAAAGAGAATATTGGATTGCATTATGCGCTTTAAAGTGTACAATTATTGCTCATCAATTTGTTTGTTGGCAAATGGCTAAGATTTTTCATGAAAAAGGTATTTATAAGGCAATATTTGAAATCTTGAAGAAATCTTTGTTTTTTTGTTCTCAAGCTTGACTCATTATTTAATTCCAAAGCAACAGATCTAATAATACTATTTAGGGCAGTTTGAAGAAGAGAAGGACTTAATGAAGATGACAAAGTCATTTTGAGTTTGGGTTTAAAATGAAATGTTTTAGGTATTTAAAATGATTGGTGTTTTTTTAAGAGAAAAGGGAAATTGTTTGAGACATAATGTACCAAATTAACCAGAAGTTCAGAATTGATTGAATATCAATTCTAAAGTTAATAAGCACATAAGTATTGCTTTTTAATGTTTACATATTTGATAATCAGCCATATGAATGAATCGATTTAAAGAGGATTTAACTCTGGTTTACTTGGAGTCAGCTGCAGAGCATGTGGAGTTTCTCAAGGCATAGAGAGGCGCATGTTACTAATCCAGATTCTGTGGATTGTAGGAGATGGGTATGCTTCTGAGTATTGAGGATAAAGCAGAAGACAAGACAGACAGGCTTCTTGCTTTTGTAGAACTTTCATTCTATGATTAATAATGGTGAAAAAGAGCAACAGCAAAGAAAAGAAGAAAGCAGTAGCTAAAAAGATGTCAGGAAGAGATAGGTGTAATAAGGAGTCTCCGATTCAGAGGAAGACTTCCTGGAGGATGCACTTAGGTTGAGAGCTCAGTGTTTGAAGGAACCAGCAACATGCGGTGGTAGGCAAATAGAATTATAAGTAGAGAAAAGAGAATACAGAGAGCTGGACTTAGGTTGTTCTCTGATGTGCTCTAGAAATTGAAACACTCCAGCTAGCAAGGACAGAGTAAACTGGGAGTGGGAGTAGTCAGGGATGAGCTGAGATGTGTTAGTTCACAGCATGGCACCATCTCCAAAACCTCATTAGTATGCTCTTGTTGACTTTGTTGAAACTTTGTAGTCCAGTATATGTCTTCACTCGTGGCAGATATGATAAAAACACATTTGCTCCTTTTTAAAATATCAACGTTGGAAAAATGCAAAACTTCCATTTTTTTTTTTTTTTTTTTTTTTTAAGGAGAAAACTGGGACTCAAAGATATTCAACTAATTGTTCAAGGTCACACAGCTTGTAAATGACACTGACAGGATCCACATCAGGTCTTATGATTTCAGGTCCTGAGCAGTTTTACTTCCCGCGGTGTCATTTTCCCTTCTTATGTAATGCTAAAAGAATAACAGAGAGTTGCTGACCTCTTATCAGAGAGCCTGCAGGAGAGGCTTCTATAACTGGTGATAGATGTTTTAGCCAAATGACAATGAAAGAGTCCTCTAAAGTGTAGTTGATGAGCTGACATTTTCTTCCCTGCTCTAGGGTTAGGGATAGAGAGGTAGAGGGAAGCACCTATGGGCAGAGAACAGGTAAAATGATTATATATTTATTTTCCTGTGCCTAGGATTATTACAGCAGACCTTTGCTTTTAGTATAACATGATTTGATGACTTTCTAACAAAAGCAATTCTGTATATCTGGAATGAATGAAATATTCTATAAGATACCGTCGCATTTTAAAACAAATATGAAATGTGGAATATAAACTGGCATTTACTCATAGACACTCTATTAGCCAACTGTGCACTCTGCCCCTCCATTAACTTAACTGCCAGGCTGGGGCCATTAAAATCCAGCCTTCTTCCTTCAATTACAGCCACACATTAGCTCCAGATATTTTAAGCCTTTTTGATAGAGCCATTTTTAGAAAGGATTGGAAGCTATCCTATTAGTGTCTCCCCTCCTTTCATTCCCATCCTAAGGAACCTCTGCTTTTTTGCAACTTTGAGTTCTGAAGGTCTGGGAGGCAGTTGGGATCTCTGTTTATGATGCATTCTCAAATCCCAGCATCCGCTTACATGAGAGCCCTAGTTACAGAGACACACTGTACCCCTCTTCTTTCAGAGAGCAGCATTTGCTGCTTGTTGGGGGCTTTCGCATTGTTGGGAGGGGGTGCAAGGAAGGAGAGTTGGCCGTTGGCCGGCGGTTGAGAGCAGATTTAGAGCTTCTTCTCATTGGAGGGGCTCGCTTTTCCAGAGCTGCCAGACACTGCAGGCTCAACTGAGGCGCGGAGGTGCATTTCAGGCTGGGAGAGCAGCGGGGGAAGACAGGGACAGGCGGGGCTAGCGCGGCTCTGCAGCTGATCACACGCACCAGCACACTCACCTCATTCCTGCCGCCCCTGCTTGCGCCTCGCGTCCTTCACTAGGGCTGCCAAAGCGTGGACTGGGACTGGGGGACCTAGGAAGGCACAAGCAAAGGTCTCCACCGTGAGGGAGAGGAAAAGCCGGAGCAGCGCAAGTGTTTCACCTGAAAGTCTGACCCGCAGCCCAAAGCTCCAACCTCGACCAGCAGCACCGCTGTCGCCGGGAAGCGGGGCACCGTGCCAAGGAACCCCAGAGTCCCGCGCCCCATCAGTCTTTCTGCCGAGGACAGAGTGGTGCCCTCAGGGAGCCGTGGACCCCAAGAGAGCTGCTTGGCACCCGACGTGGTACACCAGGCAAAGTGGGAGCGAAGAAAACATCCAGGAGAGCAGGGCGCGAGGCCGGGCTGCAGCGCCCCTGGCCGCGCCGCCTCCTGCCCTCGCCCGCGGGGTGAGTGCCCGGCCTCTCGCACTCCCTGCGCTTGGGGGTGGCTCGGGAGCTCTTTAGGGTCCTTTTGAGGACTCCAGTGGCTACCGTGGAAACTCGGCCGCTCGCTCTCGCCAGGCGCACAGGTCTCTGGAGTCCGGAGCGGGGGCTTCTGAGCCCTGAGTACGTGGGTACCGGGCGACGCACCACTGCCCAGCAGACATGCCTTTGAGCGGGATTTTGGCTAAAAGATAGAAGGCGGGAGAGCCAGGGGGAGCTGGGAGCCTTCCCGGGGGGCTGGAGATCTGGGAGCAGCGGGGAGGGGGGAGGGTCTGGTCCTAGCAGGTAGCATAGCTTTGGCAGCCTATCGAGTTGGCAGGTGGAGTGAGACTTGTTTGTCAACTCGTCAATTTTAAGCCATCAGTGTTGGGGGTGCTGCTGGAGAGCCAGGAGGGCTGCGGAAAGGTAAGAGGTGACCCGGGATGCCGGTGGTGGGGGAAGTCAAGTGGGGCCTCGAAAAGCTTGGAGGCAAAATTACAGTTTGGTTTCTGGTCCTGGCGTCTCTCCTGCCTTGAGTGCTGGAGAATAGTTTTGTTTTTAAGACTCAGTTTGGCTCCAGATCCTCCGTCCCAAGGGACGAAAAGCTTGTACAGGGGGCAGAGACCGCAGCCGCCCGCCGGGTGCGCCCCCCACCCCGGAGCGCCCGCCTTGGCTCCCCCCCCGCCCCCGCCCCCACCTCTTTATTGGTGCTGGTTTGCAGCGCTCGGCTCCTGCGCCTTCGCTTCGCTTTTGAATCTGGCTCGCCCCTCCGTATTATGTCTGCACTCCGCAGGAAATTTGGGGACGATTACCAGGTAGTGACCACCTCTTCCAGCGGCTCGGGCTTGCAGCCCCAGGGGCCCGGCCAGGGCCCGCAGCAGCAGCTCGTACCCAAGAAGAAGCGGCAGCGGTTCGTGGACAAGAACGGCCGGTGCAATGTGCAGCACGGCAACCTGGGCAGCGAGACGAGCCGCTACCTCTCGGACCTCTTCACCACGCTGGTGGACCTCAAGTGGCGCTGGAACCTCTTCATCTTCATCCTCACCTACACCGTGGCCTGGCTCTTCATGGCGTCCATGTGGTGGGTGATCGCTTACACCCGGGGCGACCTGAACAAAGCCCACGTCGGCAACTACACGCCCTGCGTGGCCAATGTCTATAACTTCCCCTCCGCCTTCCTCTTCTTCATCGAGACCGAGGCCACCATCGGCTATGGCTACCGATACATCACCGACAAGTGCCCCGAGGGCATCATCCTCTTCCTCTTCCAGTCCATCCTGGGCTCCATCGTGGACGCCTTCCTCATCGGCTGCATGTTCATCAAGATGTCCCAGCCCAAGAAGCGCGCGGAGACCCTCATGTTCAGCGAGCACGCCGTGATCTCCATGAGGGACGGAAAACTCACGCTCATGTTCCGGGTGGGCAACCTGCGCAACAGCCACATGGTCTCGGCGCAGATCCGCTGCAAGCTGCTCAAAGTGAGTAGATCTCCCCGTCTCCGCCCGGCGCCCTCCCGCTTCCCGGGGTACCTGTGGCCACAGGTAACCGCTTGGGGTGGGGGAGAAGGGCGGGAGGCGCGGGCAGGGATGGGACCGCCAGTGCGTTTCTCCCCGGCACTCCCCCTCATTTGTAGTCTCCCTTTCCGTTCACTTGTATCACTTCGTGGACTCCTGACGCTGAAGGAGTCAGCCATGAGCTCCCGGAGTCTTTAAAGAAATGCTCCCCCTGCCCCGCTGCCTAGAGCACTTTTGATTTGCTGTCAGCGCGCACTGCTCAATTAAAACTGGATGCTAAAATGAAATCGAACAGCTTTTCTTTTGAAGAAATAGGTGGTGAACTCCTCTCAACTTTTGCTGTGGGCTTGGCTTTCTGTTTTTTGTCCTAATACTATTAGGAGTAGAGTAATAACATCTGGACCCAGTAAACTGATCTTGATCTTTTAAACACTCAGAAAAGGAAACAGTTAATAATGGGGAAGAAATTATACCTGGTTCTCTTAAAATTTTATTTTTACCAAATATTTTCCTAGAGAAGCATTCTGCGAAAGTTTGAGTGCTTTGCCTGCAGAGCCTCTTGTTATTATTGCTCTTAATTGCCTGTTTCTATGACGCTTTTGTCAATTACAGATTTCACTTGAAGCTTTTCAGCATCCATTAAAGAAGATTGCTTCCTACCATCAGTGGTGTAAATGCTAAAACAAATGGCACATGGAGTGGTTATTAAAGCCAGGTTCTTCTAGTCGTTAGAGGGCACCACCACAAATGAGAGTTGCTCCTCAGTCACTCATACAGTTGGAGTTTGGGAAAGAAGGATTAAGGGATTAAAGAATAGTTTGTTTGTTTGTTTTTTAGGTATCAAACTTTTTTCTTGAGGGATTTGCTTTAGTGTTTTTCTGTTTATAAATTGAAAGCGATGGCCTCAAATAACTAACTCATAAATTGAAAATTATTTATCTGAGATTCTATAGTGAGCCAGATTCAGAATTTAGCATTAATAAAATGACAATCTGACAAGTTATTTAAATTGAGGTTTTGCCATTGAAATTTTAGTTGTCCTGGTAGGCATATACATTGGCTTACACAGCCTCTACTTATGTTGTAGTTTAAGAGATCAAATGTGCTTCAAAAAGTTTTCATGTTGTGTCATTTTCATTATTCATTTATAAGAACGTGTTTTAATTGCTCTTGACCAAGTTGTTCAGTAGTGTTTGCATTAAAGAAGTTCACTTGGTCTGTCACTTCGCGTCATATGAGTATTAACTACACTACTAACATTAAGGCAACCAGCTCTTTTATATCAGAGTTTAAAATCATCAGCCTGATTCTGGTGTACCTTTCAACTGATATAACCATGACCAAATAATTTTAGTGGATTATTTTATTTTACAATGAATGAACTGCATACAAGTTTTAATATTTATCTTAGTATATTATTTTGATGACTAATGTACAAATTAAGCAGGTTGTTGGGTAAATCTAAGCAGTTGGGTGCAGACAGAGATGATGCAGTAGTAAATTGTATGTGCTTGTTTCTACGCATAGACCAAGATATAACTTCTCTTCTTTATATTATGGGAAAGACAGGAGCACTTTGTTAGAATAATGCCAAAGTCTCTGTCAAAAAAATCCATGTTTCTGTAGCACTTTGGACTCTTATGGAAGAGTAATTTATCATATTCATTGGCCTAGTAGAAATTGAAATTCACACTTTAAAGGCTATTTAAATTCCATTTAATATTTAATATTTTTCACTTTTTCAAAGATATGATATTGTTAAGATGGATATCTTTTCCAGATTTTAGGTATCACCAAATCTTGTTTTAATAAAATCAGGCATAATTAGAATCAGGCTATTTATTATTTATGCAGATATACACTCAATTAAATAGAAGCACTCAGTCTCTACAGTGGGGAAGGTTCCTGAAAATGAGGTTTTCTTTCCCATAAGGCCATGGACCACATACATTATAAATAGTGTCTTGATAAAAATTTAAAATATTTTTGTTATTGACAATTTTGGAGCAAGGTGCTATTTTAACACAAGGTGATAAGTTTCTAATGAAAATGATAGACTAATCCTAAATGATTCTTGACTGCTGATTTGTTAAGATGTTAGTGCTGGAAGTCAAAATGATTGACATGTGGCAGTAAATTTACATTTAAACCAAATTATAGTGAAATTCTCCCTTGGGTTTGTGAAGGAAGAGGGTTTCCGTAGTAGCAGTTCTTCATAGAAGCCAGCTAGTGTATTTTGTTTGAAATTGTTTTTTCCTGTAACCATAGTAATTAAATGATTTTTTACAGTTCTTGTCATTTCCTTAGAATTCATTAAAATAATCATGCTTGATAGAGGAACTAATAATTTTCAGCAAAATTAGAGGGTAGATTTGCCTTTAATAGTTGCTCATTGTGTATTAGGGACCAAGATGAAGTGACCTAAAACAGTAAGCTACATTATGGGAGAGAAGCTATGCAAAATCTCAAAGTTTCAATAGTTGATTATCACTTTTCTACACCCTTCTCATTTTATGTTAGTACATATATTCAGTTTTCTATTTTAAATTCCACTTAACATTTTAAATTTTATAATGATATGTTTTTAATGAAAAAATATATAAAATTTAAGGTAACAAGAACTAATATAATATTTAATGATAGTAATTATAGTGCATAAATGGTCTTTATATTAACTAGTTTTACTGTTTTTGTATTTTCTGAAAAAAAATTTATTAGTATAAATATTAAAGTTTTATTTAATAATCATAAAGCACTTTCATTTCTTATGAAGAGACAACATAGATATAACTTTCTAAGTTTTCCATACGTAATTCTTTCAAATTTTCTTAACTTTTGATGAAAGATTCTCAATCTAATTTTTAATTGTGTTTTTTCCTTCTACAAAGACAAGTTTTATTTCAACTCTACTCCAGAATTCTCAGCTTGAGAATAATGAAATTACTTTAGCAACCAAATATAGAACATCAAAATATATTCCTGGAGATGTAAGTCCTTTTTCTACTAAAGATAATGTAAAATAAGTTAAATGAACTATAAAGGATGTAGTTTAAACTTGTTCTTTAAAATCTATAATTTAATTATGAAGTTGTAAAAGCTGTTTGAAGGTACATATTCTTTATCCTGCCTTCACCATCACCATATCACCAGCACCTCCCATCATCATAAAGTTTACTTGAATTATCAATTTATTTTAGTTATCTTTTTATCCTAGAAAATAGAAATTAATATCATGGTTATACTAGCTTAATGTATCATCCTGTAGAAAGTTTTAATAAAAGTTCTTGGATTATGGCTGAAATGCTAGAATCTCAAATTTAGGATTGGTTTAGAAGATTTGAAAATGTCACTTGTTCCTGTCTAAAGACTGACTACCCTAGACTTATAACCTATTATAGGAAGAATTAAGTGATCTTTGATGCACTATTCAGTAATTTACAAATTATTATCCAAATGCATATACTGTATGTATGTATCATTTATATAGTTACGTTTACTCAAATATATTTGCATAAAATAAACATGAAGCCAACTATTGTGGCATCCATAGTTTGAAAGAAACAAGAATGAACTTTCTCATGCAGGGAAGATGTTATTTCTTTATATGTATATTGATTGTTCATAGTCATCATCTTTCTGAGGTTAGCTATGCAACCTTTAACTTCCATTTCCTGAAAGATAATGAAGGGCATTTTCTTCTTCTTTTAATATCACACATTATTTTAGTACTTTTTTATTCTCCATTATATTCACACTTAAGTTGAATGCTTTGTGGTTTCTCATAGGAATGTGATCATGTGCAGTTGTGTATAAAACCGCTGAGCACTGTATCTTCTTTTTATCTTTTCAGTGTGAGGAATCTAACCAAAGGTCTTCAACATGCTCAGCAAATACTCTGCCCCTAAGATATACCCTCAGTCCTATCCTAATATTTTATTAATCTTTTAACCTCAATGATTCCTGGACCACAGATTCTGGGACTTTTCTTATATCTTTATTACCTTGAATTCACTATATATCTTCATTGCATGTCACCCATACAAAAAGTGACTATATTTTATTTGATTGTATATGACCTATTTTTTGACTGACAGTTTTTTGATCCAGTTGATCTTTGTTAATTTGAACTTAACTTCATTTAAAAATTATATATGTATATAATTTGTCCTGCAGCCATAGTCCAAGATGTTGGAAAATACATTTAAGGAGTGTATGATAGAGGACTTCAAAACTCTCAAGAGCTAGGTTCCCATATCATTTTTTGGATTTTTAAGTGGATTTATTATGTCTTTTAAAATAGCACAATTCCTTCATTTTCTTTGAAAAATAAACTAATTCTCTAATAAGTATAGACCTTGGGTTCTTTCTAAAAGCTATGATTATAATTCTTTTTTCCAATAGCAGTACTATTTTTTTTTTAATTTATTATGATTCCTGAAAAGTACAGTGTGCTCAGAGAATAAACTATAAACAGCAAAAAAGGGCTTGGAGACCAACAAATAAACAGCAGTAGGTAGGAACAAATGATAAAGAGAAGCAGGAGAAAGCATTTGATGGACTGGAGGGTGTTGGGTCAGAAGGAGAATGTGCAAGGAGGCTTCCAATCCCACCCATAGTTACTGTAAATTCCACAAAAGGCCTTCAAGGAATTATGAACCACTGTTTCATTTGAATGCTATAAAAGCCTCACAAACTGTGTTACAAGTCAAAATATACTTTATTCTATAAAGAGTGTTCTTTTCATAAAAGTGAACATACTGAATGATTAATTAATCTAACATTAAAACTTCTTTATTTTAGACTCAGCTTTGGTCAGTTCTTTCTCTATTTATGGTGTCTCTAGCACCAGGAGTCTCCATAAATGTACAGTGGTATTGCAAATTTTCCAGATGCAATTGCAGATTTATACTTTCTTCTTTCTATCTTAAATTTTGATCTGAGTGTCAAAGATATTATTTTACTAC